GGTGACAATGCCTCTAACAGAGCAAGTGTCCTGGGGGGATAGGCAGTATTTGGTTACTGCATCCCTGATCTCTCCCCATTGTGGTCCGCTCCGGGTCCCATGGAAGGTTGAAAGGGGGTTTTGGGGAGGGGGACATGTGCGCATATGTGGGCCCACGACGCAGGTGCCTACATCTGTTCATTTCTGGGCAGATGCTCATGGTTGCAGAGATAGAGAGGGAGAGTTAGAGCGAGAGAGGGGAGGGGACGGGAGGTGGACGTCCTCCATTTACTCTCTCATTCATTCATTGTGGTGATTAAACTCAAACAAAATTAGAGCGAGGTCAGAGTGACAAATTAGCTGTTGCGTCGTTTTCTTCCGAATTAGCTTGTTTTGTTTTTTGTTGGTCCAAAATCGTCTGAGTCCACAAACCATCGTCCAAAAAGAAAATTGCAGAGCTGCGAAAACATTTACATCCACGATGAACTGGAGCGGAAATAGTCAATTATTCACTTCACCAGTTATCTGCATTAGTTACTGTTCTACACATGGTAACCAAGGCTAACGCTGCTTCTCTTCCAGCAGGAGGTCATGTGACAGGAGCCTGACGAATCAGCGAAGGCTTCATCAAGACTGAGAAGATCCAGTCAGTCAGCAAGAGGTTGTGAGTGTCCACGTCTTCATTTCCAAACATCTAACGTTTCTGCCCGTCCACATTAAAACTCTGGAGTCTGCAGCGTTTCCGAACTTCCAGAAGACTCATTTCTGGGCCCCGTGAATGTTTGTTCAAAGTTTCTTGGTTATCAGCTCCAAGTTGTTGTCTCAGTCTGAAGTGGTGGACTGACTGAGATCCTCGGTATCTGTTGAAGTTTGGTTTTAGGCACTTTTCTAAATTTCTGCTAAACAATAAATATATTTGTACAAACTAGTGTAAAACTGTGGAGCCAAGAATGGTTTAATTTACTGATCTGATCTCAATAATAATCCTCTGATATGAGTGAGTCACCTTTCACCTCATTAACAGGCTCCCTCTATACCAATCTGTTCAGCTGGATATGTGTTGAGTGAGTTTGTTTAACCCTGCAGCTCTTCCCGTCCGGACGCGTTGACGAGTATTTGTTGCGGGTAAACGTGTCTCGCACAGTATCAGTTGTTGAATTATCGATTTTATTCATGGGGACCCGCATATGTGGTGCGTCACCCCGGGGTGCGCGGCAGATGTGTTTTCGTAAACATTGGCACGCGACCGGCCACGTACAGCTCCCTCCCTACCCCCCCTCCCCCTTAGGTCCCCAGTGTCTCCACACACACACACACCCCTCCCTCCCTCCCTCCCTCCTCACACACACTTATAACGCACACACACACTTGCAGGCGCGTCTCTGGGCACCCCACGTAATTACTGCGCCACTCTTCCCATAAGCTCAGCACGTCTCCAGTAACAGCAGCGTATGTAAATGAGACGGCAGCCTGCACCGGGAGGCTGGAGGAGGCCGTGGGAAGCCGCGGGGAGCCTCACGGAAACCCCGAAGAGCCCTGGGGATCCGCGGGATCTGGCCTTCGCCCCCCCCCCCCCTTCCTCCAGCAGCTGGCCACGGTAATCTGATCTGGACACAAAGGGGCCAGTTGATCTGCTTCAGCAGGTAAAGGACGCGGAGCAGACCAGGAGAGACCAGGAGGTCCAGTCTGACATCAGCAAGAAGCAAAACAAAAACTAATGTGCTAGATGTTGATTCACAAGTGAGAGTCAATCTACTTCACCGTGTGATTATCATGGTCGTTTTTCATCTCAGGGTTTTGTGCGTAAACGTCGATAAAGACTTGGAGGGGGCGTGCGTAAAGGCAGCCTATCTCTATCCCGAGAAAGTGCTGATTCAAAACTTGCCATTTCCTCGAGGCGTTTAAGAACCAGCCTACATTTTAGCACGGGTAGCTTCTAGAAGGACACCCTCCCCCTCCTCCTCCTCCTCCTCCTCCCCCTCCTCCTCTCCATCAAGCCCTGGCAGCGTTGGCCTGCTGCCTTGCGCCTCCTGCACCATCCTGGGAATAGAACCTCTAACCCTGGCACCATATAGTCTCAACTTGCTGAGCAGTTGCTGCTTCAAGTGAAATGCGTCAGTATAGTTTCTATTGATGACGCATCGGCGTAAAGAAAACCAATTGATCATCCCACGGTGGCACCTCCCTCGCCCCCCCCCCCCTCCACCCCTTCCCCGATCACCGCTTCATATGATCGATATCGTGTGATGCGTGCCGTGTTTACGTTCCCACGAGTGACCATGTGGTGTCTCCTCTTCTGGGACCAAAAAAGAAAAAAAACCTCCTGGCCTCCCCCTCGCCATATGGCCCCGGAGGGCCCATACCGTTACAGGTCCTTTAACATGCTTCCAGTTGAGTGTAGACGGAGCCCGGTGGACAGAGGCGCATAGAGACGTGCGCTTCGGGCCGGAGGAGGGAAGGAGGGAGGGAGGGAAGCAGGGAAATAAACGTCGTTTTCTGGATGTGGATGGTGGGGGGTGGTGGTTAGTGGCAGATGGCTTGTAAGGGTCTGTCCGCGTCTGAAGGCGTGTCGTGGTCCTTCACTGAAGACCCCCTTCCTCCCTCCCTCCTGCTTTCACAATCAATGGAAATTAAAGCGCACAGAATGGATGAATAGTCAGACCCCGAGTCACCCTTTTTTGTTTGGCGCAGCTACTGGTGGGCAGGAGTTAAACTACAGCAGCCCCCTACAGTAGCACTTTAGTTAAACAGTCAGAGCTCAGCCAGCGGCAGCTTGGACAGAAAGTCCAGAGACAACATGTGTCCAAAGTGGACAGAGGTTTTATTTTGGCCTCACAGGTTTACTCTCCCTGTGGGTTCTGTTTCTGACACCTGCAGGTTTAGGTTCAGGGTTTAGATGCATTTCTGCGGTTTTGTTCAAGTGCACAAACACGGAGCTGTTGAAAAGTTTTAAACATGAGCTGCTGACGAAGGACCGAAGTTCAGTTGGAGTTTTAGTTTCCTCCAGTTTAGGAGCATAATTCAGCCAGAAGAGTTTTGATTCGTGAAGGAGGGTAAACCTGCAGCTCTGTTGGTTCCAGAGATCCAGTGGCACAAAGCTGTAAACATTAGAAACAGTCTCTGCTCAGAGTCAAAGCGTCATTGATTGTCTTGCCTCCATCTCGGGTTATAATTGTGACGGTTTGAGAGATGGAGCGATGGACACGTCCATTAATGGAGGAGGACTTTGTTTGGGGGCTGATTGGAGTTAATGAGTAACTTTACGCACACGTGACGCGGGAGGTGAAGTCGACTTGGAAGAGAAAGGGAAAGCGTGTCACTTTATTTCTGGGAGGGTGGAGGGTGGTGGGAGGGCGCGCGCCTCCCGTGACAGGTAACGCGCACCGGAGAGACGTGAGAAAACACGAGCCGTGACGCGCGTGTCTGAGCACAGTGACGCAATGTGATGTGGAAAAAAAAAATCACTAATAAACGAGCTGAAGAAACAACAAGCCCCCCCCCCCCC